AAACACGCTCTGCCGCAAAATCTAGTTTTTCATGTCTGGAGTCAGAGCTAGCAACTACTTTTGAATTTGTGGCTGCTGATTCTTGTTCCAGTGCGCATTCGGGTACTAATACTCTTGCGCAACAGAGCCCGCAAGAAAAGGCGAAACCAGCATTTTGTTGGGGTGCCTGGGTTAAGACACATGCGGCATACGTCATATGAGTCAACACGAGCGCGCACACACACGACTCCGCATACATGTTCAAACATTACATTAATTACAAGTTACAAGTATCAAGTATCTGTGTCAGTATGTGCACATATGTTCCAAATGGTTCACAACTTTCACTCCACATGCCCACATCATTGGTCATTCCATAAACATACCGAGCTGTTTAAGACATCCGCCACTATCATCATCCTCATTGCTATCGGTGTTGCCGTCGACATATTCATTGACAGTTTCACTGCCACCTCGCCATTCTCATCGACATCTTCACTGCCACCGCCAGCGCCATCGCCATATTCATCGACACCTTTCATCGACATCTTCACTGCCACCACCAGCGCCATCGCCATATTCATCGACACCTTTCATCGACATCTTCACTGCCACCGCCAGCGCCATCGCCATATTCATCGACACCTTTCATCGACATCTTCACTGCCACCGCCAGCGCCATCGCCATATTCATCGACAGTCTTGTCGACATGATGGCTGACAGCATTCCGGGGTTCTGACCAGAGCATACGTTTTAAATTTTGATAATATATAGTGTACTTACATAGTAATATGTCCAAATACTTGTATGAATTGATGAATGATAAACCTCGCAAACAGATTGTGATGTGTGCCCATCTCACCACCTCACCGGTGGAACAACATAACATGGAAATATCACCAGCCTTGCAAGGCCACTTGGATGGCTTGCAGATCCTCACCGCGCTGCGCACCCCGGGACATGCGACCATGGGTGAATCGCACATCATTTCTTGGAGAGTTGAGTGTTGATCAGCATTCTACGAATGGCCTCCAACCTAGAAGCAAAAGGAAGCGACGGCCTCCAACCTAGCAATGGCCTCCAACCCAAGAGCGATGGCCTCCAACCTAATAGACATTCACATGGTGACATGGAAACTGTTTGAGGAGCTCTTCAAGAACAAGTCTTCCAACAACAGCCACCGCATCCTACCCTCGACACACAACAGCGACGTCCGTCCTCCGATGACGGAAACCGCATCATCCGATGACTGGGGGTGTTGCGAAGACCAACAGAGGCAGTGATCACCAAGGCCTAAAGCTGCCCATAGACCTCTCTTGCATTGTACAGCTGTGGGGGGACAAGTGACCTGGACCTATATACATGCTCCCTTCCATCGCCCCCAACTGTCCTTTCATGGTCCCTTTCTGATCAGCCAACTCCCCACCCACTGACGGCGCTCGGGATGCCCTCGGAATTCCGGGCCCTCCATCGCTGAATGCCCCACTTCTGGGTGTCCTCCCAAACGCCGTTGAGCACCTCAATGCAGTCTGACACTGTGTCCTCGGATCTGTCAATCTGGGCCATCCAAATGGATGAAACAGGCTGTGTGTCAAAAAGAATGCATTGAAATGCTTCTCCCCCTCGGCGTCTGGCCACGGGGTTGTAAACTTCAACCTCAGCTCGTGGCACAGTGGATCTTCGGTACAAGATCGGTTCTCGGATCCGGCGATGAGGGGCTGTGAGGGACCTGGACATCTGTCCTGTGTAATTTTTTGTCCCTTGATCATGCCTTGATCTTGCGTGAGGGACCCAAGGAAAGAACGGCTCTGACAGCTCATGTCGACAAGTCCAATTGGAGTTCACATATTCTTACGCACGGACCTATAGACTTCGATCTGAAGCTTGCTCGCTCGCACAGAGCTACGCACAACTAACTGACTAACACATGTAAGTGCTATGTGAGACTGCGGACGAAAACCCAAGTGATGAGCATTGTTCTCACTTTGCTGGGCGAATGTCTTTAGGGTTGAAGGATATTTTTCTTGAGAGCCACAACCACACCTGACACACCTGATCCCTGATCCGACCACCGCGAAAAGATCGCAGGTCGGCTGAAGAGCTCAACATGAGGACCAAAAAGAAGACCCCGATGAGGAACCTCAACATCCCAGACCGTCACTCTAGAGATCATTCATTCCATGCAAATTCTGGCTCAGTGAAGCTCTACCTCATCATGCGGAACCATGTTCCCATGTTTATCCGGCTAGAAGACCTGACCAATTCTGGCGTCATCAATCGGGATCCATTCATCATAGGTCTTGTTGCGTCATTCACCTGAAATGAGTGGTGTATTGAAATAGGAACACCTCCCAATTTGAACCCCTCAAGAAAATAACTGGAAGAATGGAAACAGACCAAAACCATCCAAAACCAATTGCTTGGGGATTTGATGGGATCTCCCTATTTCATCCTATTTCAATACACACTCCCTCCTTGCTCCAGGCCTCCAACCTCTTCTCTTTGCGCGTCGAGCAACCCCTTCTCTTTGCGCGTGCTTGTTGGCATCGACATAGACCACACCGCCCTGAGCCAATCTGGAGAGGGCCTTCCCGGCACCTTGTTCTCAGGCTCAATCTGTAATAACCTAGCCCTAGACTCAAGAACAAGAAATTAAACAAACACAACTGCAACCTGACTTGACACCAGAGCAACATGTTGAAATGATGTTTGCAAAGAACAAAGGCAGCTGGATGAACAAACAACAAAAACGGAATCGGCAAGATTTTTGGGTCTCCCTGGCTGGAGCCGGCAAGGTGACTTCGAAAAGATTGAGTTCTTAGTTTCCTGCTTAAGGCGATGTTCGATGTTGTTCGGCTCATTTGTGAAGCCGCACAAGTGCTCGGCTCTCTGTGCCGCACAGAACAGAAACAGCTGGACGTTCTACTCATGTTTACCCCCGGCCTGACCTTGTGCGTGTTTTGGCTACATGTTTAAGACATATGATCAAAAACATTCAAACACATTGGCTAAACAGTGACCTGGTGGAACAGGGGCGTTCTCGGAATTGAACAGCAAACCTATATACCCTAGGAACTATAGGATTCAAACAACCATTGTTTTAATGGTCTTTACTGCCAAAGAACCATTGTTTTACTAAGGATTTTTACACTACACGACCAGCTCAACCGTTCTTTTAATGGTCTTTGAAGGCTAGGGTATGAGCTCTTGATCCTTTTGACTCGACGGTGTTGGCATGAGATTACCAGAAATTCCGCCAACTCGATGGAGAACTTGTGGAGGAAACACCCGAAACCGACTCTGAGGCCATGGGCCATCACCAAATAGAGGAGGATATGGTGAGCCTTGGCCAAGCATGTGATCGTGATGTCCGCACTTCTCTTCCCATCCCACGAAGTCCAGGTCTCACGCGGAAAACAGTGGACACCTGTGCGCCCAACTGATTTTCAGCGGAAAAACTGCCAAAGGAGTGCTTGAAGAACTGCACCCATCACATGGAGGTTGAAGTCGCATAATTATTTGTCAGCACTGTACTGGTTGTTGTATAACCAGAACTGAGTGCATGTGTTCAAGAAAGCACCATCTCCGCGAAATCAACTGGGTAGTTGATGTGCAGATTCTGGAACTTCAACGAAATCAATTCGACCCAGTCACACACCTCAGAAGAATGGAGGTCCCTATTCCATGTTCATCAACAATCTCAAAGAAATGCCTTCAGCGAATAACCCGCCCTATGTTCCACACCAAGTCCCACCCATATTGCTAGGTGCTCCAGGCCAGCAAAAAGTAGCCGCCGGTGCCGACCACGGGAGCTGCCATGAGTTTCAGCATGCCTCCCTCCACCTGACGTGTTTGAGGCCCATGGAATCTTCTGCCATTCATGACAAGTACTGACAAAAAAACGACATCATTGCATCCTTCCGCAGGTTCACCTACGGAAACCTTGTTATGACTTCTCCTTCCTCTGTGATTATTAAGCTTCATGAAACGTTCCTTGCCGCAACGTCCAGAAGCTGAGCTGAGCAGCGTCTCCGAGTTCAACAGACTCACTACCGTTGCCTTTAGACTCCCGGTGTCGCGACCGATCGTTGGCTACGGAGGACTGGTCGGGCGAACATGGTTGAATGACCCATCCCTGGGACCCAGCGCACCGTTCCTTCGAAGAAGTCTTTAGACTTATCCAAAAAGGTTGACTTAAGACAGTGAAACGATGGATGCATTTCGTGTCGACTTGTTTGTGTGTATTTTCAGGTTTACCCGGTAGGTGATGAAACCACCATGACAGTTCATCGGAAGTGGTGCTTCTTCTTCTTCTTCTTCTTCTTCTTCTTCTTCTTCTTCAAAGCCATGTGCGATAAACATGGTAACCAACCATGGCACCCCCTTGGGGTCATGTGAAGCCCATGAGGCACGTAGAAGCTCGTGCTGTGGGGGAAGTGGTGAAATACCTTACACCAACTGGCTGCCATCTAAAACCCCCCTTCCTAAGCATGGTGGTAGGGATGGTGCCTGCAAATGCCAGAGTTGGTGTGAGCTCATTGGCAGTTAATATGTCATTGGGACCAATCATAGCAGGTAAGGTCTACAGATGTTTCCCCAACCAGCACGTGCCTTGCAGAGTCTTCCATCAACAGCCCAAAATTCAGCGGAAACCCAGCACATGGCCTGTTCTGGCACCGTTTTTGGTCCATCTGAAGGTCTGAAATCGAAGGTCTGCAAACTTGAATCACCATCTTACTGATCTCTGGAGACCAGTATCAAGGAGAAACGACAGTGGCATCAAGCCGATTTGGCAAGGCAAAGACAGTGACTCTTTCAGAGCACATGAACACTGCAAAGCAGTTCAAGGTGGATCAAGCCAACACGTGGCACCGGGAAAATGGTGCCACCGAGCTTCTTGCGCTTCTTGGCCGTTGAAAAACCGACAACACCGGACTGTTCAGGATCTGACTTCCCAACTTCCTTTTTGACCTGGTCAACTCCCTCGTATCAACTGATATAGTGTATATATATATATATAGTGAAAACCGTGGGGCCCCAGGAAAGAAACCGAAAAAACGAAAGGCGTTCAGATCCCCTGGGCCCTCTCAGTCGCGAAGGACCAGAGCGTGACCAGGAAAGGAATTCCGCCCACCTTCCATGCGTTTTTAGGCCAAGAACAAGCCAGGACCTTGTGGCCCTGCCGCCAGCCGTGCCAGACCGCCATGGTGAGGGCAGGTGGCGCGATGGTGTTCCAACGGCCCACCTGCGGGCGTCACAGCGCCGGTGGCCAGATGCAGCCGGGCGACCGCACCGTCCTGGCCGGAAATGGCGACCGGTGCGACAGGAGGGGGCGACCGGTGCTGTCCCTAGGCTTCCTGGCCCAACATGAGGTTTAATGGTCTGAATCACGAACCACTATGTTGTACGAATGATTTTACATGATTTTACACTACAGCACCAGGCCAACCTGTGTTGTAAAAGTCTTGGACTTACAGTGTTTAGAGGTCACAAATCGTTGGACTTCAGACTGGGCCTTTGGAGGCAAGTACTGAGACCTTTGGTGTGGGAGGGCGAACACGCATCACCAAACGAACAAACGCCTGACGGCCCTTGGGTGTAGAAAAAGCACTGAACACACATGGATTGTAGAAGTTCTTTGCCCGACATCACTTGCTGGTTGATGATGGTTCTTTGCCTGCTGTTGCTCAAAGAAACACCTGTGCATGGTAGCTGTGTTTAACCCCTACCCCTCAAAGAAACCGCGTTGTCCACAGTCTCTCGGACCATGCAGCATCCGTCGTCCTGAGAAGTCAGCAGGAGCTCCTTCCCCTCAGCAGCAAAGGCTGCGCTGCTGGCCACAGCACGTGTGCGAGCCTCCCCGCTGGGCAGCCAGGAATCCTTCTCGTGACCTGCCGCGACGCCGTTCGAGAGACTCTTCCGCCACGGGGCTCCGTTCCAGTTCCGGTGACCGGGATGACGCGGTTCCGGTGCATCGCCCAAAAAGCACCTGCTGTAGGGTCAATCCATTGGAGCCTCTACAGTATTGCAGTTCAGAAGGGGGTTGTGTGGTCAAGAACTAGCTGGGGCATTCGGGGTTTCGGGAGGTCCGGAGGTAAAACCGATGTGTTGCTGAAGGTCCGGAACCTGATAGGCAATGAGACTTTTCACTATAGAGCCTTGGTGTAGAGGAGGCGAGTGGCCAACCTGGATGTCAATTAGTCTTCTAGTCCGATTGGTGTTTTCTTCTGGACACGAAGCCGGTTTCCGCAGATTGGAAACGCCGATCCACTGCGTCCGATCCGCTGCGCTCCATGGACCTGTTTGCAGGATGGGTTTGGGGTTTAGGGTTAAGGGTGACTGTGGTATAGTCTTTCCCACTGAGAATCGCAAAAGCACCGTCCGCGGAGCGCATGGACCGGGGATCGACCCAAAGCATCCCTCTGAGCTCTGGACTCTAGGTACAAGCAGTCATCTCTTCTCAGGTGGTGCCCCACTACCCCAGTAGTGAACAAGCTGAAATGCATTCTTGAACTTCGTCTCCTTCCAAAACGGATGCATCCAGTCATAAGCAAGCACCAATAAACTATATATATATATACAATAAACCTCTGTTACTTCTGTCGCGCCTGTGTGTGCCATAATCACCACCGACTTCTCCTGGGGGAACATCACCGCCGCGCGCACCGCGTGTGGCTGCGGCCCACGGGTGATGGCGACGGCACCACGGAAGGGCGAGGCGCCCAAAGGCAGCGGCGGTAACGCCGAGTCCTGTGCGGACTCTGCGGACGGGCAAAGGTCGGAGGATTCACAGCGGAGGAAGTCTGGAAGTCGAGGAACGAGCAGTCGCACATATAATCAGCCCAAGGTCGGCCGAAATGTGTCAGATTTGGAAGGATAGATTAATAGATCCCAGACACGACTAATGGGACTGCCATAGGACTGCCGATCAGTTGGGTGGTTGACTGGGGGTCAAATGGGGCGGCAGTCCTATGGCAGTCCCATATGGCAGTCCCATTAGCCGTGTCTTGGAATGATCACGAGCACAATTCCATGTGCTTCGACACCCCGCGACACCGGTGTCGACTGTGTCGGTCCTTGCAGTGCCATGTGCCGTGATCGCAGTGGAAGGTCCGACCGCTCGAGGCCAGAACCACCAGCCCGTGATGGTCCCAATGCGCGGACAGCAACGGGCCCATGTTGCCTCAGTGAGAACGAGAATGGACCGGAGGAAAAGAGAAGATGAAAAAGAGGGGATCGCAGTGGTCAAGGGAGATACCTCCAATCTAAGTATTTGGTCACTAAATAACCAAATCTAACCAAGGGAGACACCTCCAAGATCTTTGGAGTGCCAAAATAACGAAATCAGATCACTCCAATTTGGAGACCTCGCACCACCCGCACCGGCCAGCCAAGTCTCCACCGTGCAGGGCGACGGGCGTGGAGTGAGGGCCCTCAATGATCAAACCTCGGGCGCGAGCCGCGACCAGGAGCGTCTGCTTCAGACGGATGGAAAAAAAAAGGACGGTTTTTGCACACGAAAGGTGTTTCTGCAGCCTCCGCAGGCTCGGTCAAAGAATGTCTTCTGCCAAGAATTTCGGTGCCATTGTGGAGTCTTCTGGTGCCGCCCATCTGGTGGTTTTTCGCAAGCAAAGGATTTGATATGCCACTTTGACCTGTGGGACCTTCTTCCCATTTTCCTAGACTTCCGTTCGACCATTAAAAAAATGGGAACGTCCTGGTTTTTGTCGTGTAAAAACCTGAGTTGATTCGGGATTCTGCCTATGAAATTAATGGTGGGCCAGGAAGCCTAGGGTTAACTGGTGATATCGGGATGGATCCATCCTGCATGGGCGTTGCTGTGGTGGTCGTTGCTGTCAGCCACATTTCTTCAAGTGGAGGCGCGACAGAGTCCCCCAGTTGATTGAGGTGAACAAAGTACTGGACCTGAACGATCGTGGGCAAGATCTGCGCGCTGCATTCCACCGTATCAACTCTGCACGTGGCTTCTCCAACAAAAATATACCCAGACACGCCATGTATGCCATATATGCCTACATTGACCCCCCAAAACCACCCCAACTGATCGGCAAATATGGCAGTCCCATTAGTCGTGTCTGGGATAGTTGTTCCGAGTTCTTCCATGCCTTCCTCCGGCTGGGGCGCCCCAAGTCCGAACTTCCCACGGACTTTGGTTTTAGGCTGGTGAACCAGGCTGAAACCGAAAACACAAAAATCCACGCGGCGCCTTTGTGCTCAAAGCAAGGTGCCACGGCCGTGGTGGGACAGTGCCAGAAGCTTGGGCGCGGAAGCATGGCCGCACAGCAACCTGCCGGGTTGGGAAGCGCCAGTCACGAATGTAATGGCTTTGTCGGCGGCCCACTATTAATTTATATGACATTAATTTCATTATAGTGATCTGTTCTTTCAAATTAATGCCACAAATAAATTAATGAATCCTAATCTCCTAGCCGCTGAAAGCTCTTATTTTATGGGCTTTATGATTAATGAATGGTGTTTAGTTTATATGTTTCTTTAGATTATAAAGCCCATAAACGAAATCCCTGATCCACCACTTTCTAGATCTAGGAGTCACCGGTTCAACCATCATGAAATTCCATGAAGAGATTTTAATAGTAATTTCATGATGGTAGGGCACAGAGGAACAAGAAAGAGAAATCTCTTATTATTCATCCTCCACATTTACTCTTTGACCATTAAATCTTTGTCCATTGGTTTTCTTCTTATGAAATTTGGAGGATAAGTCTTTTATAATTTCATTTCTTTTATGTGATGTCCGTATTTGGGAATATTTGGAGGGGTCGATGCCAGGTAGAAGTATATATACACCTATATTTGGTTACACTTGAGGGTATCCCCTCTATTGATCGACCGAACAAGCCGCCCACCGGGTCCACGCCACGGGTCCGTGGGTTGTGGTCCTGCCTGGGTTCAAAGAGTGCGGGCCACTCGACGGAGGCGGCTTTCGCCTGGCTTTCGTCGAAGAACGACAGCAGTTCGAAGCCGACTGGAGGAGGTGAGGCCAATCTGTTCTGCAGATTTCGGAGACGTTTTCGGTGGAAGCAGACCCAGATCTTGCGGCCTGGATTCGGTTCGGATGGCTGCATGAATGAAGATGAGGTGTCCTCAATTTCTGGGGTGCTCTGTCAGTTTATGAATGGTCCCTAGGGCTCCAACCATATCCTCAGAAGGTGGTTAGACCCCCGAAACCCACCCTAACCACCTTGTCAGGAGGTAGTTGGAGCCCTAGGGGGTAGCGATCGCGTCCCTCGTTCGTGGTAGCGGCCCTCGTCGCCTGGGTACCGGTCTCCATGTAGATCGATCAACAGAAGAATTACAGCTGACTTCCGAGGTTTTTCACAGGTGATCCACGTACTGTGCCCTGGGTAGTGTCAAATCTACGTAAAACGATGGTTTGTTCGGTAAAGCCACTGTAAAGCCTCTTAAAAATGGTAATGGTGCTCGTCCTAGGCGTCCCAGCAAAATGGTTTCTGCAATTCCAAGCCACACCAAATTCCTCGTCCCACTTGGATGGAACGTCGCGGTGTCCGCGGGTGGACAAAAGGGACGCTTGAGGGTCCAAACCCCTGCAGTTCGGAGGGTCTGATGCGACATGAGTCAAAACCACACTCCTGGCCACATGGCACCCAAGCGGTTCCAATGCAGTTTGGACTCAACCTCAAAATGCATCGTCCCATGCCCTCCACTGATCACAATCACATCCTCCCCTTTCGTTTTCCAAGCCCAACGTCACCCAATGGGTGCACCACACCACAAGCGCGCCCCAAAAATAAAGAACATCCTCCCGGCCTGCGCCAGGGGTGGCGCAGAGGTGGTGTCGATCATGGAGTTCGCCAGGAGCGCCTTGGGGGTCTGGGGCTGCGCCAAGTCACGGAGGTAGGGCAGCACGCTGCGGATCTTCGCCACGAGCCTCACCGGCGCCCCCGGGGCTCGGGGCTCAGCGGAGCGCGAGAAGCGGAGCGCTCGGTCGATGCGCTCGGTCATGGAAGGGACAGGTCATAGGTCATGGGTCCATAGGTCCATAGGTCCATAGATTAGGTCATGGATTGCAGATGATTGCAGGTGATTGTGGACAGGTCAGTGGAAATTGAAAGCGGACGACTGGGCACCGAAAAGAAAGGGGATGAGAAACCTTGGGAGGGCTGTCCCCAGATGTCTGATTGTGAGGTGATGACTCATGTGTTCTGTCGCAAGTATCTACAAGCATCACTTTGAGGAAAGCACTTGTTGTGACTCTCCCATCAAATACCGCTTCGAAACTGCTAGACTCCTGTCATGTTGGTCATGGTTTGTCATGTTGTTTGTGTAGTCAGTGTAGTCCAGTCCCTAAGAAACACCGCTGGTTCCCAGAAACGGCCGAGTTCTCCGCATCACCGTGGACCCTCCGAGTTCTCCGCCGAAACGACTCGTGCGGCCATGCCACTCATCACGAGGCAAGGTGGAGATGATGTCACCTCAGGTGACCCATTCAAAGTGTTCAGCTCAGCTGGAGTGGGAAAACGATGCTTTAAAACCTGGAACACCATCTTGGTACAAACCGTGTTAGGGGAAAGCTCTACAGTAAAATCTTCCAATGAATGAATGAACAACCCTCGGCAACACATCTGCAAATGGATGTTCTTTAGTTTGTCTCTTGTTTGGGGGGGGTAGTAGGGGGCGAATGGACAGACACCAGAAGGGCATCCGCTTCTTCGACGGACCTCTCTTTTCCATTCCGGAACTGGTCCAAAACCCGGAGCCCCAACCTCACGGTAGGTTGACCATGTCAGGTCGTCTCTTCCGTTCATGTCGCTGGGTTGAAACACCCGGGTCTTTCGGTGCCATGACCCACAGCCATATGAAAAAAACGAAAAATACGACTCAGTCCACACTCCATGGGACTGCCAGTCCGGGCCACCCCAGAAAGACCCCCCAAACGCACCCCCGAGCCGCCGTTTCTCGGCCGTCCGCAGTCCCGGAGGTCTCCCGGTCTCCCGGTCTCCCGGTTTGGATGTGACTGGAGTCCTAGAGCGTCGTGTGCACACTCACCCCAGCTCACCCCTTCCCGCGGCGTGTGCACGTGTCCCAAACACGAGGCAGGCTGAAACGGGAATACAATGGAAAACAGATGCCTTCAACTTGGGGTTTTGGGGTACCAGGGTACTGACGAAAGGCTCCATTTCTACGTATCTTCGTTCAACAGTCGCTTTGCACCTTCGACCGCAGGCGAGGTAGGACAATGGAGCGAAAGCGACGAACGAGCTTTCAGCCCCCCTTTCAATCTGCAGTGTTGAAGGCATCGCGCCCTAGCGCCTGCAAATAGGAATGATGATGTTCCTCAACCTCCTGAATACATCTGCCCATTGTCCCATGCCCATGACCTTGAGGCATCTGCTCAGCAGTCCACTTGGACCGCCCAAGTCACTGGTTTTGATTCCCTCCAAGGCTTGCAAGCGTCGCGCATGGTGCTTCACGCCCACCGCGGGGCCATGCTTTGCTCCTCCGGTGCCGACCTGGCGCGAAGCAGAGAGCGAGAGTGAGGGAGCCTAATAGCAATGGCCTGCAACCTACAGTAAGAGCGATGGCCTCCAACCTAATAGAGAGAGAGAGACGGAAGGTATATGGGCCAAAAGCCACTGGGGATGTGATGTGTCGAGTTACTCGGAAGATGTGTGTGGCCAGGAAACATAGCAGCTCAAACTTCGGAGGATGGAAAGAAAAATCCGCCTCGAGCTGTCCAGCTCGATCAGTCTAGCAGCTAGGAAGAATTTGGAGTTCGAACTGGTCACTTTTGCGCAAGGGAAGATGTGGTGAGCAAAAAGGGATGTCTTTGATCACCAGTTTGATGCCTACAGTAGGGGATGCCCTTTTCACTTACTCCTACATAGGGAGGCAATCTCGGAACGTGACAGGACATGTGACCACAGGTCCTGAAAGGAAAAATAGAGCAGTGTGATGATGTCAGAAGTCATGTCATGTGGCAGGAGGGGCATGCCCGATCTGCAAAGAACATTGCATGCCAAATGCCACCAGGCTGCTTGGATGCATTTCTCTTCCGCTATTTCGATCCGCATGTTGCGGCACATCGAAAACGGACCAATCACCCTCCACTCCCTCTCCAATCACCCTCCATCAACAAGACCTGTGGAACCACGTCGACACCATCGGCGCGCCTCGGTGGGCTCGTGGGCGCCCACCTTCGGTGGTCGGTAGCGGGGGTCGCGGAGGTTGTTGGGCATGCCGCCGGCACTCCTCGGCGGTCGGGCGGGCGCGGAGGGATGGGCGCGGGAGGGATGGAGCGGCGGAGCGGAGGAGCGGGAGGAACCGCTGAAAAGAAGCGGATGGGAGGTACCAGGTTGAGGCGAGTGTCCACTTTGGAGATTGGAGATTGGACGACTGTCTGGAAGAAATCCGGAGATGAAATATGTCGACTGGCATGAAACATTTAAAAAGTATGAACATGTTGTCCTGAGTAGTTCCTCTTGACAAAGACTAGTGACTAGTGGAGTGCTGCCTCTAGAGTGGAGCATAGACATTCTTGATGTGTTGTGCTTCGCTGGGTGCTGCCGGGGGTCGGTTGGAGCCTGCCACCCCTTCCCCCTTCTCCATCTCCCCCGCCCTGCGGCCCCGCGTTGGCCATACCGAGACGCAAGAAGGAAGGAGTGCTGGTGTGCGCATTGGCGACTTCGATGGTGAAGCCAATCACCAAGTAGATCCAAGCCTCAGAAAATCGTTCAAACGAGATGAAAGGGCCTCCCGAATGGAGGACCATACCGGACCTTCCGTTGCTTTTGCGTGTGGACCCAAGGGTTTATCTGGCAGGAAGGGGAGGGGAGCTTCAATGCTTGCTAGGAATTTTGGGGAAGAATCTTCTAAATGGATCTAAATGGTCATTGAACATGAGCGAGGAAATCTATGCCGGGCAGACCCGGAGGCTGTGTGTTTTCCAGCTCCTTAAGGTGCGGTATAAATGGTATAAAGGCTTAGGGATTGCCCAGAGGTCATTCAGGATGTCTTCCATAGGAAGTGTTCTTTGCCCTGAAGTTCAAGCCCTCTGAGCCTCCAAAAAGCCTCCACTTCCCGTTGCGCCCCAGATATTTGAAAAAAACACCTGGGCCTTCGATCGGTGGTTCCTTCAATCCGGGGGAGTTTCGGGATCTCAGCTCAGCTCACTCCTCACTCCCTCACTCTTGTGCCCAGCTTTTGGCAGCTGAGCAGCAACGAGAAGTCCCAACAAACCGGTACCTCGCTGCAGGCAGCTGAAGCCAGCGAAGCCGGCAAGTGGAGCAGAGGGGTGGAGGGGGTTGACCGGGGTGGTGTCTCAGGGCATGGTCCGGCACAAACAGTCAAGCTCCTGCCCGGTGACCAAGGGCTCACAGGAGTTGATCCTTCGGTCCCCACTTGAAGGGCCATGGTGGGAAAAAGCCGGAGTTCAGCTGGCTGAAGCAAGGAGTGGCGTCGCTCTGAAATATATTGGAGTTCAACAACTGAAAAAAAGAATCCGCCCGCACCGAAGGTGCTGGTGCGTTGTGGCGGCCCGCGCCAATCGCAAGAGATCTGCTAGATTGAATCTTAAGTTTTAGCTTGAGGGGGGCGTATTTTTCGTCTGGAAATGCTGTGCTTTACAGTGTTCGACCAAACGTTGGCGATGCAGGCTTTGCAGGCCGAGAGAGAGCGCGTTATCGACATCGCGGATGCATGTGCCACCCGGGGGACACTGCATGATTGACATTGTGGGTGTGTTCGGCGGAGTGTCCGAGTCCTATCCGAGCGGATGAGGTGATTGATATTGAGTGTATGGTTTCGGTGGCGAGATCTTGTGAGGGGAAAGAAGGAGTCGGTGGAGTGGTCTTGTGGAGAAACAATCGGTAGCGCCAGCCAGTTGGTGTCTCCCAACGTTCACCCAGCAGAAACACGGGGCATGCTAAGACCAAGCTAAGCCACGCTGGCCAAGTTATCTGGTTGTTTGGCCACTCCTTGAAACAGAAATAAGACCCTTCCAAGACTCCTACGAGTTCCCAGAAGCTCGATTCTTCCAGTCATCGATATTGCACATTACGCGCGAAAATTTTATACATTCGAATGTAGACGTTTCTTCCAGGCTCCGAGAGCACAAGTTGCTAATGACACACTTTTCCCATCTATCTGGAATGCCAATCTGCATGTATGTCTGTCTGTCTGCGTGGTCTGTCTTACCCCAGACATTTTCCCTTTGATCTGTGCGGGCGGCTTCCACCGCGAAGCGGTGTGAATCAAAAAACACGTCAAAAAACAAAACACACACACACAAGGATTAAGGATTCGCCTCTTCTTTTGGTCTGGGTCAGTTTGGCCTCTCAGATGTTCTCGCGCTTCCGGTGCCACAAGGAGCATGTGTGGCACTCGAAAGCACTGTTGATGGACAGGCAACTGACGGATTCCTTTACCACGTGATGTACACAAAGTGTCTCTCCCTCCAAACGGGTTGGGCGATGAAACGGATGTCAACAACGACCCAAAAGTGCCCATCACACGGAAGAAGAAGAAGTCGAGCTGCTCAAGACTGGGTGGATCATGTTGGATCTACTTCGGTGTGGCCAAAAACAGAGTGATCCGGATGCATACCCTTTGGATCAGGGTATGGATCGGGTGTGGGTTTGGGTGCTTAATCCATGCCTTAAGTTTCTGGCTGATATACGCCCTAGTCATTCATGAAAAGAATCGAAAGAGAGATGTGTTGCTCTGGAGTTTCCTTCCCAACCCCTCCTTCTCCTTCTGGTCAGGTTCGGGCAGCGAAGACACTGTCGAGACATGTGGATGTGTCCTTGAAGTGGTCGAATGATGTGGTCCCAACTCTGCCAAGAAGAAGCTAGCCAATCCGTCTTGGACAGAGCCAACACAGTCTCCTTTTCAGCCCAACACAGCCCGTTCTGAACACCCAGTTTCAGACCCCTCAAGGTACCATGTCCCCAGCTTGGGGACCCGAAAGCCTCACCTCCCAGACCGAGGACTCCACTCTACACGCCACGTACACGCCACGGTCTCGTCGATTTCCTGAAGCTTTCAGGGGTTGAACTGGGAGGTCTCCCCATTTTAATACCCAGAACTTCAATGTTGATTCATTTTACTCCACCTGGTAGTCAATCCATCCACCACTACCATGGGGGGGAAATGACTCATTCTCCTGGACTCTTAAGGATTTGCTCTTGCAGTTCCTGTCGCGTCCCGTCCGTTGGGCTCGTCCTGGTCGTCGACCCAGACCTTGCTCATCCAAGCCACGGACGTTGAACCACGCGGGCGACTCCCCCTGCTTGCCCAAAGCTCGATGCACGTCCCGGCGCTTGGCCTGCACGTCCCGGGCGTCGCCGGGTGGAAAATCGGTCTCCGTGAAGTGTCTGGTTCCCGAACTCTGGGAGATCACCCATGTTTGATGTGTTCCTAGTAGCGTTCTTGCTCCTAGTAGTAAGGCACTTGTTTCTACTAGCTTCTTGTTACTGCTAGTAAGGCACTTAGTTACTAGTATGTTCCTGGGTTTGTGTTCAATATTAGTTTCCCTAAACTTGCACGATCATGGAAGGTGAGCCGGGTGACCTTCAGGTGTCTTGGATTTGTCCCGTCCCTTTGGTCTTACCTTGGGCCCTACACCTACATTGGGTGATTGCGTTGGGGCCTCATGGAACGAGTCCTACCTCTGTCTGAGACGACCTCCGCCCTCATGGACAGCGTCTCTCACTTCAATGGCCCCCCCCCCACATCCCATTGACCTCCACCGACAGCTGGGCCCCACTGGCCCCCCGCTCGCTCCGCGCCCGGCTCACGCGCCCGGCTCCTCGTTCCGCCTCGCCTCGACGGCGTCGAAGGTCAAGCGTCCCGGCTGCCCGATGCTCTGGGTCCCGCCCTCGGAGGCTTTGCGCATCTCGCCCACCTGCGAAGTGGCTGAAGTCACCGAAAGGATCCGAAGGTCGTGGGTGAAAGCCGTGGTGTTTGGCGGGGGGCCGTTCGCTTTGGGCTGGTCTTTTGTTGGAGTTCTAGTTCCCAAAGCTGCTCTTGGTGGTTTTCACCTGTCTGTTTGATCCACCGGACAGGTGGACAGCTCTCCTCTAAGCATTGCCGTTCCAAACTCACAGGACTGGTCGACGGTGAGGAGACTCCCAGCAGATTAGCTATAGGCTATAGGTGTTCATGGTCGACGTCGAGGCCCAACCCAACCCATGAACAGTTGCAGTTGAAACAGCAAAATGTCAGGTCCACACCCATCAAGCGTCCTGAACAGTATGATCAAGAATCATTACACTCAAAAAAGAGCCTGGGTAATGGTGTGTGTGTGTGTGTGCGCCAAACTCCATGTTGGGCAGTGGCCAGTCTCAAACTCTTGATTCGTATTCATCTTGTGCTCCCTGTCGTACTTATATATTGGTTTGTTGGCCAGCACCGAACCTGGCTACCCAGCTTGGACACGGGTGGTTGGATATCTGCAGTATCCCATGTTCTTCAATCATGTTGAAGAGGACAGATCCAGCGTTTCTACCTCACCGTTGATGTATGGGCGCCACCGATGCCCGGCAAGGCAGGACCCTTTGGACCATCCACTGTTTGGACCATTCGGCGTTCATGGCCATTTCATGCCATCATGCCATCTGCGTAACCATGATTGTTTCAGGGTAGGGTACCAAAAATGAAAAAAAGTGGCAACAGGATCGATCATACCCCCGTCTCAACTCGAGAGAGGCAAATATCACTAAACCGTGGTCCGCCGAGGCGCCAAATCGTTCTGGCTCGGTTCCAGGTGACGGGGCGGGGCCACCAGCCAAACCGCGTGCCTTACAAAAGCACGACCGGAGCCCAAGGAGGTGCTTTGCATGGGGCGAGGCAGGGAAAAACTGGAGCCCTCGAAGCTGAGAGTTTTGGAGCGCCCTCGAGCTGGGAAAAGTCAGGTGTTTTTCTCGCACCATTTGGGAGTTGGGATGAGTTGAGGCAACTGCGAAGAGTTTATGAGATTGTGTCCATGGAGAGCCTATGAGCCAGATCAAGGTGCCAAAAGTTCCAAAGTGAGTTCAGAAACGGAGTTGCTTGGTTTTTCCAGCCCCTTGTCAACAGGAAGTGCGCAATAGGAAGACAACATCTAGCCTGAATAAGGAGAACTACACTAGGCATCACTAGGCCCATTGACAGGCAAATTTGGTCAGTTGCTTCAACACACCAATACACCAACACACCACATTCAAACATTCGGGCCATTCAGCGTAGACGATCGAGGCGAAACCACTCATAGGCTGTCTGAATTTCTCCCTGACTCCGTCCCCGACGGATGAACTTGGTTCGATCTCTCAGCTTAGCTGCACCAGGTGCTCCTCTGTTTCAGCCTACCTACAGAACATGACAGAAACACAGGCATTGCCTCCTGAGCCTGATCAAAGACGTATTTTTATTTTTTAGCTTCACACCAAGTGATTAGACACCCACTCAGCACAGCCTACGTTTCCACCCCTCATCACGGGCACCCCGTTCACCGGGTGCCCCGCTCCCCACCGAGCGACTTGAAGGCCTTCGGCAGACGCCACTGGCCCGGCCACCAGGTGCCCTGAGGCACTTCCGCTTGGTCTGGTGCGCTGAAGTCCGGCGCACAGATCCGGAGCAGCTGAATGGTGTAGATCTGCGACGTAAGGCGTCAGGCGTCGTCTGTTCCGCGTGCCCGCTTTCGGTGGGGGGGGGATCCAAGTGGATCCAAGCGGGTTCTTCCTGGGGCAAGTGGATCCAGGGGTGGTGTTTCTTTCCGTTTTGGTTGAGATTGAGGTGAAGTTCCAGGAAGGATGAAGAGATCGAAAATTCGTGGTGCAACGAAAGCAAAATGTCAAGGACGGGATTTCTTCAGGAATCTACAGATGGCGAATTGTTTATTTGACACCATACGGCTTCCACCAGTCTGTTTTGGGATCGTCTGTGATTTGAACCTTCCGTGTATAGGATAAGAAGTCTTTCGACCATGGAGGTGGATGAGAAGGGTCTTGCCAGGACTGCTGCAACATATCTTACATTGTAGCGCGTGTGTACTTTCTGCTGAAAAATCTGCTTTCCTCACCTTTTGGCCTGTGCCCTAATGGTCAATGTCTCGTTCATGCCATGAAAAGCCTCAATACACCCAGCATGGCATGTGGCCACCCTCCCGTTTCAAACGGCCAACTACGGACCTTTTCGGGACCTGACCGATCTCCAAGCCGTCCGCTGCGTCGAGATTGAGGCTCCCACAATGTGGAATCCGTGCGCCACATACACCAAGATATAGCCGATGGCTGCGGTGCTCGGATCGTAGTAAGGAGTGTACCTGACGGAGGACCAGGCGGCCGCAGCCAGTGCGGCCGCAGCCGCCTGCAGACCGTCACCGCTGAAATTGGGAACCGTCGATGGCTGCGATTGACTCCGATTGACTCCGAATGACTGGAGAACCAAAAAAATCCGGCGTCAAATCCTACGTCATCAAAGCCTCACGACCGAACCTCGATTCCGATAGTGCGTCACCGAAGCTCGATTTAGCTAGATGATCGGTTCTTCATTTTGGGATGGTCCAAATCTCTGATGTATCAACCCTAGACTGCCAAGACCATTAAAAGAATGGTTGACCTGGTGTTGGGAGCCTAGGGTCAAATCAAATCATTGTCATGATTAGACCAAACTACCCACCAAGGTGGGTCACCGAGTCTGGTCACATTGCCCCAAAGAGCGGCAACGGTCCAAAGGTGGCGTCCTTTTGCTCTTCAGTCTTCAACGGACTTCGGAGGCTGCTTCTATCAGTGTCTTGGCTCTGATTCTTTTCCCTACAGATCGTCCAGTTCGACGACCCACGACCCACTCCTCTTGGCTCTGCCCCGCACCCGCGGCCCCCGAACTGGGCCCCGGCCGTAGCGCCCCGAGCCTTCCGACCCCGACTCCCGACCGTCACCTGCCGGGGCACTCGATGGCCAAGGCCACCCATGCAACGATCTGGGCGAAGGGGCCCAAGCGCTGAAGGGAGAAGTTCAACTGGCCAGGCATGATGTCCAGGGTCAAGAGGATGTGCCTCAGGTTGGATTCGAGGCTCGTAGGCGGAGGCAAAGGCTCGTGCTTTTTTTTGTTCTTCCGGCGACCGGGAGTGCTAGAATGGGAAGCCAGAGGTGGGATGGAAGGGAGAAATCGAATACAAGACGGCACATAAAGATCTCCAGACATGAGTCCTTTAGAAGTGTCATGGCCATGGCCATGGGCCCATGATGGTCTGTGAAGCTCCTGCGGAAAGGGTAAGATCCTTAGCCTTCAGCTTTTGGTTGGATCGGTCTTTGGGGATTCTTCCATTTTGCCTCTACCCCGGAGTTGGGGGCAAGCAGCCTCGCAAAACAGTCTAGATGTCTAGTGGGTGATTGGTTCGGCATGATGCTCAGGTGGAGAACCACGTGAGGACCCCAACACTATAGTGGTTTGGCTGAAAGGCAACGCATTGGCTTGCGTGGTCGGCAGGCTTTAACGATCTTCAACTTCCTAGACACAGGCATACTGATTCTGAGCACCCGTTCTTTTGGTCTGTGAAAAGAGCTAAGCCTGCTGAGCAGGCCCTGCACGGTGTAGATCATCCCATCCAGGAAGGAAGATGAGTAGAGAATCACTGATGTACATGCATTTCTCCGGTTCTTGGATCACCCGTACTCTTCACCATGCCTTCTTCCACCCGTACTCTTTGGAGCAACCTTATGACAGTTCCCTCGCCGAAGTCTCAGAAAATCGATGGCTACTGATGAGGTGTCCCAAAGTCCGGATTGGCCCAAGCCATCGATTGAGCCATCGATGGAGCGACCCCCTATTCTCTTGACCTTTTCACCAACAGCCCAGTCAATGCTGCCTAACCTGCGTTCTGTCCAAGACCCTTGGGAGACAAAGCTGGTACACAAGATCTGGAAACAGACTGGGTCACTGGGTGTGTGGCTCAAATCAGGAGACCGACCGCCGGCAACGACCCCCCGGAAGATTCGGACAATTGAGGAGTCTCCCTCTTACAATACACACCCACATGAAAGTACCTTGTTCCAACGGCAAAAGAGACGCGAGAACCGAGAACCGAGAACCGATCCATCACTTGGATGAAACGTTGCCACGCCACTGAAGGACACAGGTGGGGATGCAAACGAGGCCGACGGCGAACACGGCGCGGTTCTCGCAGAAAAGGTGGCCCATGTGCTGATAGGTCCAGCAGTGAAGCAGGTGCCTGGAAGTTGACTCCGGCCTGCACGCCTACATTGGGGTGGTTGGGGGGGGGGTCAATGTAGGTAAACATTCCCTACATGAGGTGCGTTGGGACAAAGAATGTAATGTAGACTCTTGATTAATAACCCCCAGTTGATTTGGAAACCCTCTTCATATGGGGGGGGTTATGAATCAAGAGTCTACATTAGTGGTGTGAGAGCTTGCAAATCTCTTGACAACAGCGCGGCAGGCTACAAGTCGAGTGGCCTTAGTGAGAATCTTCCTGTAATTCGTGGGGACTTCCAACAGGACCCAAAGCAACGTCTGGACTTCAAGAGCAACGTCTGGACCTTCAAGAGACCTATTGGGGTCGGCGGCGTCTCAGCCAGAACCCCAAGAACCTCAAGAGTCGCTCTTCAAAATCACCTAATCATCATCGATAATGCCTGATAGAGCATGCGATTTGAGAGTGCCATCTATAAAAATACCTCAAACCTGCTTTGGCCATCTTCTGCACTCACACAATCAAGGGCCAACCTCCCACTTGACGCATCCTGTTGCGTAAACGAAGCCACATAAAGGCCAAGAAGATGCTGATTCTCGCGTAGACGTCATATGGCCACCACTCGTTCTGGATCTCACGGTACACCTGCAATCTGGCCCCCTCATCCACCATCCACGCCCTGTGTTTTCAGACCTTCATGGGAATCCGACGGGTGGTTTATTGCGGGTGTTCTCCAAGCACTTGGCGTTGAATCCATTCGAGGACGCCTGAGTCCATGGTCAAAGGTTCTGGTTGTCCTTTTGGTGAACGCCTGGTGGGCGTCTGTTCTTCGACGAACATGGGCGGGGCATGGTTCTAAGACGCTTGGACCCGGTGCCGAAGAGGGCACCACACATGTGAAAACACACTGCAAAACACCTTGAGTCCAACAGTTGAAGCAAGGAATCCAAAGCAAAACCTATGAATCATTCACTCTGCAAAAAAGGCAAAGGGATGTTTTTGTTTCGCACATTTTAGGTGGTTCAGTTCGTGTCGAAGTCCTCCACCAGCCATCATTCTGAATCCCACAAGCCGAAAACTCCTGCAAAACGTCACTCCTTTAGCTCTTCTGGTGTTTTGGGTCGCAAGAAGATATATCGATTCAATCAAATGAGATGCTGAAAGTGCCCCTGCTTCAAGAGACACTCGTTCTTCATCGATTCATCCAAGTTCTTCGTCCGGTCTCTCGTTCCCCATCTTCGCGTCTCCGCAACCCCTCCGGAGACCGCTCAGTCTCGCGCCATGACCCCCGTCCCCGCTCGTCGTCGTCCGCTTCGCTCCTCAAAGTGTTCCGGTGCCGTCCCCTGGGCTGCCAAGGGCATCCTCAGTCGCGGAGGTCAGTGGATGGACGCGGAGTCAGTCGCCGGTTTCGAAGGACAGGACAGAGATCACACATCACATCAAACTGCTCCCTCGCGATCCAGACCTGAAAGAAATCCTGCAGCACAGATCCTATTTAACTGCCCACCAGGTTCCGGTGGTGTGGTGCAGAACAAACGAACCACGGGGTGTTACCGGGTCCCGGGGTCCCGTCCGGGGTCCCGCGGACCGGGTGCTGTTTCTCTGGCCAAGGCGCATGCTCTCGAAAGGCTCACCTAAGACCAGCGGTCTCCAGCTCCGCATGTGTTTCCGTGCGGTGGTGAACCCGGGGGCAGGGGTCACTCACTGCTCACTGGAGGATCATGTAGACTCTTGAGGACCATACACCCCCCCTTTGGGGTGTATGGTCCTCAAGAGTCTACACTCCCTGAACTCATGCTGACTCACCGATTCGACGGGCGAGGACCGAACCAGGAACCAGGAACCGTGGTGTTTCGTTCGAGCCGAACCCGGAAACGAAGGTTCGAGAACTCAGGTGATGAACGCAGCCGAACCTCCAAGCCTTCACTTTGGTGAACGGAGCCGAACCTCATAGCCACGAGTTGGGGAAAGCGCAGCCATGCGGACGAAGAGGGCCGCAGGTTCAGGTTCAGCGAATCCAAGCCGTGCTTCGGACCGTTTGAACCCATGTGCGCTGGTCCAACACATGTAGTCCGTTCCCCTAGGACACAAAACTCCGCATAGCTGTGTGAGGATCCTTTTTGAGTGTTTGACGAATACTTTCTCCAGCACCATTCCAGAACAGGGAAAAGGACAAAAAGACACATACCACAAAAGATGGTGTCCACTTCATGCATTGAAGCCTCCAGGACCATCTCTACCTGCGCGACAATCTGTATCGAAGCATGTGTCCGTTTAAAAATACACATATATTATATATAATAATGACAATAACTATAAATAATAGAAAATAAGCGTCGTTTCGCTCTGCTGATCGCCCATGTTCCATCCCATTTGCATCGGAAATAATCCCTTCGCGGCCCAGTCGCCGGAATCGATGGCCTGCTCCTTGCGGTACCACGCGGGCACGTCCGCTCCATGTCGGGTACGGTTCTGGGCCGCCGCGTCCTCGGTCGTAGCGTTGCGGCAGACGAGGACGAGACGGACCGAGACGCGAGGGACTGGGACGGACCGAGACGGTGGGGAAGATGGCGATGGATTATGGATCTCGGAGATATTCGTTCTACTCTCCAAAGTTTGAGTAAGATGAAGAGTTGCGATGTGGAATGATGAAGAGTTATGATGTGTGTGTGTGTGTAGAACGTTAAGAGATTCGGAGGTTCTTGTGATGCTACCGTTGGTCGCCATGAGAACAACTCCGGCCAAGAAGACAAAAAGAACCTGCTAAAAGCTGCATAAAGGTTCAGGTTTTCCAAACCTGGAAGTCCGGTTTTAATGAACACAAGGATGGGACAAACACAATCTGTCACGAGCCGGAAGATGCCGGAAGGAACATTGCCTTCAGACGCGAGCTCTCCCACTCCCCGCGCCGTGAGTAAAAAGCGTCAATGTCCATTCCCTCGTTGTAGGTCGTCTCACCGCTGCTGGAATACCTGAGACCGGGGATTCAGCCTCCTCTGGCACCGGGCGGCACCGTTCCAACGTGGAACGGCGGCACCGGGCGGAACGGAGACGCCGGAAGGGGTGCAAGACAGAGCAACACCGCAACGTGGGGGAAAGCAGGTAGGAGGACGGGACAAAAAGAAAAGCATCTCAGTCAGGTTAGTACTTCCGAGATACCTTAGGCCTTAGACTAGAAGCCAGGGCTGGATATGAGTGATGGACCAAATCTCTGACTTAGAGGGACATCCGCACCCTTCTCCTTTCCATGCTGAACCAACCGGGGCCGACACAAACATACACAATGACAAACCATAGAATTGGTCCAATCCTCATATGTGCATCTTTCATCTGGAGTTGAGGGGTGGTGTCATGAGGCACCCCTTGTTGAAGAAACATCGCAGCTGGCAGGTTATTGAGCAAAAATCACCTGCGGTTAGATCGGTCGATTTCACAAAGAGCTAGTCCTTCTGGGCATCCTGGCGCTATGGTTGAAGAGCTAGCCCATCAAGATGTAAAACTCTGAATTCAGAGTTTCAATTTTCGGGGATAGGGATTGAGGAAAAAAGGGAAGCTTTCGTCTAAAAGAAAGGAACTCGTCTCATGCTTTGAACACGTGTCCTCCTTCTTCCTCTCCTCCACAGCGTCCAAAACCCACCCGGTTTGCGCGTTGACCTTCCCAGTCCCCGGGTGCCCCGGTCGGTGCCCCGGTGCGCCCGTTCGTAGCGTCCGATCGCTCCGTTCGTAGTACGATGACCCGGCCATAAATCCCAAGCCACTGATGTCGTGTCCAAGGGATGCGCAAGACCTGGCCACTCTTCCGACGACGTGGTCTGGGCGCTGCGACGACGCGGTGGATGGTGCGGTGGATGGAGAAAGCGTAAGAGATCAGGATTCGAAGGAGATGACTGGAAATCCGAGATGGACGTTGTTTTTGACTGGAACTCATCCTAGGTCCTAGATTCTGAGTGATTTTTAGATGGATAGGTTCGCAGGATTCTCCCACTACCATGCGTCAATCAGGTTCTTAACAATGATGCATGATGCCGGCGAGGTTGCCGTTTGGCTTCGCAGACTGTTGATGGACACGATATGAAAATATAGAAAGCACACACACCCTCTTGCAGTGCCCTATCGTGTACCACAAAATGAAGCTCCGGTGGCACGGTGGTGCTGTTTTCGAACCTCAACCTCTCTCTCTCTCTCTGATGTCCAGTTCAGCAACAAAACCAGGAAATGGTTGATCAGTGTCTCGTTCTTTTCCACTATACCTTCCGACGGTCGTTTTGGCTGCCTCAACGGACTCGCGGCTCCGCGGCGCTGTCTCACGGTGTCCCACCTGCCTCGCGGAGCGGCTGCTCTTCCCAGGATCCCAAGAACTTTCGGGCACGGTCCAACCTCGAGCGTGGGCACAGGAAGAGACCCGAAAGACGGCGGTGGCGGTCGACTCGTGGGAACCGCGGACTCGTTGGTTCGGTTCTTCTTTCGTCGAAAGCACGTGAGCTTTTGGAAGTGTCATGATTTCACACGTTCGCTCATCATTTTCTGCCTTTTCTCGAATCGAAACACTCCAGTTCTATAAAAAGAAACTCCAAGTTGAGAGTTGCAGCTGAATATTCAAGCCGCTCCACCAAACCAATTTTTTCCTCTTCGTGTT